ATTTCAGTGTTACGTTCAGTCCCAGTGTGCACCTTCTGCTCCCTCAGAGATTCCACCGCATCAGTCTGATAACAGGGTATGAAATAACCACAATTCGAAAACAACGTAATGAATAAGATTTTCTTGCAGTATTACGTGCAGACCCCGGACGGAAGTTTTATCGAAGATAGCATACAAGAACAACAGCAGCCACAAGAAAACGCGACCACTGGAAGCGTTCAAACCAGATTCCGGGGAGTCAGGGAAGTAAGCCAGAAGGGAATTCACAAAGTACTCATCTACGAGATCCCGGATAGTTCGTTGGCCTATGTCTTCGCCTTCAAGGGCAAGACTTCTATGCCGGACATCTGCACGTATCGCTGCATGCAGTGCAAAAAAGTGAACAAATACACCACAGTTTTGGTAAGTGGAAACGCAGATGTAACCGTAGCGAACAGTATTTAACAGGTTCACGGTGACGACTTTCTGGAAGATCCAACTCGGCTTCGACACCAATGCATTCCAATCAAAAGGACCAAAGATAAGGCCACCAGAATGTCGTATGAGGTGATATCACTACTGCAAGCTTTGGGAAAATTTATCAAAGAATTGCAGTGCCTGCAACAGATCCGCCGTGACGAGGACGCATCCTTATTACCTACGGTGAAGTATTTTTTGGATGTAATAGACAGAATTGAGAATATGGAGTGGGGAGGTGAGCAAAAGCTTTCTACATCTACGTACCCCTTCTTATCAAAAGTATCATGCAGATATTAACAAAAAGCTGTCCGTCCTCGCATACTACCATGGAAGAGGATATGAATGTAGAAGATCAGCACTGAGCAGGTTTGTTTGGGATCTTATTGCCGCCTTCTCCTCAACTCAGGAATTTTAGAGCCGTAAAAAGAAACATTCGAGAAGTGGATATGGACAATATTCCAACTCAGCTGAAATTGTTGCGCGATGGAAGCCCTTTTCTTCAAGTACAGCAACCACTGATGCATATATACATGTCCCAAGATATAGTGACGGTGCTGGACTTTATTTCCAAATTACTCCATATTTCAACTTTCAATTTCAGCGTGCTGTTGAAAATGGGCTACACGCATTGATCGGAGATGGGATTCACCAACTAAATCCACGTAGCAAACGCGGTTCTGATGTTAGGATAGAGGAAGGACAAGTGTATACAATACATGGAGTGTGTCAAGGAGGATTCGAGGTAAGATGTCGTGATTTACCACTCAACCTCGGAAAGTCCCACTTCAGATTCCGTTACTGTTTGCTATAATGAGGAACAAAACCGAACAGGATTACATTGTGGT